CCTCACACACCTGCCCCTGACCACCACCCACCTGCCCCTGACCAGTACCACCTCACACACCTGCTGCTGACCAGTACCACCATCACACACCTGCCCCTGACCACCACCCACCTGCCCCTGACCAGCACCACCCCTCACACATCTGCCCCTGACCACCACCACCCCACACACCTGCCCCTGACCAGTACCACCCTCACATATCTGCCCCTGACCACCACCCACCTGCCCCTGACCAGTACCACCTCACACACCTGCCCCTGACCACCACCCACCTGCCCCTGACCACCACCACCACCTCACCACACCAGCCCCTGACCACCACCCACCTGACCACCACCACCACCCCACACACCTGCCCCTGCCACCACCCACCTGCCCCTGTACCACCACACACCTGCCCCACCACCACCCCCCCCCACCTGGACCAGTACCACACACCTGCCCCTGACCATCACCCACCTGCCCCTGACCACCACCACCCTCACACACCTGCCCCTAACCACCACCCTCCTGCCCCTGACCACCACCACCCTCACACACCTGCCCCTGACCACCACCCACCTGCCCCTGACCAGTACCACCCTCCCCACACCTGCCCCTGACCAGTCACCACCTCCCTGACCACCACCCACCTGCCTCTGACCACCACCCACCTGCCCCCCACACCATCTGCCCCCTGACCACCACCGCCCACACACCTGCCTGACCACCACCACCACACACCACCACCACCACCTGCCCTGGCACCACCTCACACACCTGCCCCTGACCAGTACCACCCCTCACACACCTGCCCCTGACCAGTACCACCCCCCACACCTGCCCCTGACCAGTACCACCTCACACACCTGCCCTGACCAGTACCACCCCTCACACACCTGCCCCTGACCACCACCCACCTGCCCCTGACCAGTATCACCCTCACACACCTGCCCTGACCAGTACCACCCACACACCTGCCCCTGACCAGTACCACCCTCACACACCTGCCCCTGACCAGCACCACCCTCACACACCTGCCCCTGACCAGCACCACCCTCACACACCTGCCCCTGACAAGCACCACCCTCACACACCCCTGACCAGCACCACCCTCACACACCTGCCCCTGATCACCACCACCCTCACACACCTACCCCTGACCAGTACCACCCTCACACACCTGCCCCTAACCACCACCACCCCTCATCTTACACCGTTCTCTCCCTGAGTACACCGAGCCTCTTGTGCTGAACCTCTGTCCTGTATGGCAGTGAGCAATGATTAGTATTATCAGTTACCACGAGACCTGACCTGAATTACTTACATTAAACAAAACATTGTACCTGTATGTATTGTAGCCATTGTTTATGAAGGTGTTGAAGTAATTACCTTCCTGTAATGTGAGGTGAGGTGAAGTGAGGTGAGGTGAGGTGAGGGGAGGTGATGCTGAAGCTGCTGTTTGTCTCGGAGAAAGTTCCCAGTGTCATTTTCATCGTATGATTTTACATAAATGATACTTGCTTTATTCTCATTATTCCTCGTTCTTTTCTCCTTGTTCTCCTTCCATCTTCCTCTCTTTCCTTTCTTCCTCTTCCCTCCTCCTCTTCCTGCTTCTCCTCTCCTCCACCCTTCTCTCTCTCCATCCCCCTCCTTCACTCCTCAGACACATGTAATACATTGTTGTGATCTCTTTATTCACACACACACACACACACACGAATAAGAGAGAGAGAGAGAGAGAGAGAGAGAGAGAGAGAGAGAGAGAGAGAGAGACTGTGTGTGTTCCTGGTAAATATGATAAATAATAGAGAAGAAGAAGAAGAACCCAGACGACAAAAAGTATTGTCTTACAAGAAGATGACAATTCAAGCCATATTCTTGCCCACTATAAAAAAAAAAAAGATTTAATGAAGTTGACACATATTTACATCCTGTCGCAGAGTAAAGAGAAGAGATTCTCGTTACTTGACTTCTTGTGACTTGTAAACACAGCCGTTTATGTCACTGCCGGATCTTTGCATAGTTTGTATATGTTGAAAGCTTGTAGATTATCACACATTCTAAGTGGCATTACAGAAACAAGAGAATGGTGAATAACAGAGTAGCGGAGGGAGGGAGGGAGGGAGGGAGCGTTCTTAAATGTGTAAACTGTTGTTTTCTTGTGTCTGGACTGAGTTAGTTTGCGTGCTTTAAGATCATAGTTGTTGAAGAGCTGTAAAGACCATAACCAACAACAACGGTGATGATTAAACCAGAGTGAGATAATGGTGATAATCTTTATAGTCTTCAATGGTGTCTGTTATACACACTAAGACTTGGTGAACGGTGTACAGTATAATAAACACTGCTAGTTGAAGCACCTAAAACTAAGACCTAGTGAACGGTGCTTAATAAACCCTGCTAGTTGAAGCACCTAAAACTAAGACCTAGTGAACGGTGCTTAATAAATCTTGCTAGTTGAAGCACCTAAAACTAAGACCTATTGAGCCAGAAAACCCCTTATCTTGTGGTGGAGAACTCTTGATTAAAACGCTCAAACAAATAGTCCTCTGAGTTCATGTGACCAATGAGACACCACTGGCCCAAGACAGCAGTTAATGACGTGTTTTGAACCTTCCTAAACCCTTGTATTATATGTAAACAATATCTGTGCTCGAGAGTGAATGGTTCGGGTAGCTGAAGCACTGAAGTCGACGACAACAACTTGTTACCAGCGGCTGTCATCCAGGTGAGGTGACGGAGAGTATGTCATTAATAACGATGCAAATAATTGTGGTAAAGGTGGTACAGGGTGGTAGAGGGTACGAGGAGGGTGAGCAGGCGTTGGTCTCCTGTTTCTTACCATTCAGCAGGTGTTGAGGTTCACGCACCTCCCTACACCACCATTCACGCACCTCCCTACCAAATTACAGCTATTCACGCACTTCCTTACACCACCATTCACGCACCTCCCTACCAAATTACAGCTCTAGCTTTAAAAACTGGAACTGCATAACACACACACACACACACACACACACACACACAGGTGGGGGGGGAGGGGGAGGTGGAGGCGAGGGGAGATGAGGGGTGCAGGGGAGGGGGAGGCGAGGGGGGAGGTGGAGGAGAGGGAAGTGAGGGGGGAGATGATGGGGAAGGCGAAGGGTGAGGGGTAGGTAAGGGAGGGTAGGGGTGAGGGGGAGAGGGTGAGGGGAGGGGAGGGAGGTGAGGGGGGAGGGAAGCGATGGTTGCAGCTTATGATATTACCGTTGTGATGACCAAACAGCCTCCTCCTACGCCCACACGCCCACATTCCAGCTTGACTCATGCCCACACACCCACTTCACTTACGCCCACCACCCGACGCCTTCACTGACGCTAACAAGCTACCAGAGATGAACAAGCCGTTCTATCCACGCCCATAGCCATGCCCAATCAACGCTTACATGTCCACTCATCACGCCCACACACACGCACACCTACGCCCACACTACTCACGCCTATTTACTCACCCAAATCATACACCATCTACGCCCAGATGCTCCTCACACGCGCCCACGTGCCTTCACACACACACGCCCATGTGCTTTCACAGCCCCCACACACACACACACGCTAACGTGTTTCCACGCCCACGTGTCTCCACACTCACGCGTCTCCACACCCACGTGTCTCAACACTCACGCCCACTTGTCTTCACACCCACTCGCCTTCACGCCCACGTGTCTTCACACACGCCCACGTGTCTCCACACCCACGCCTATGTGCCTCCACACTCATGCTCACGTCTTCCCACGCCCACGTGTCTCCACACTCACGCCCACGTGTCTTCACACACACACGCCCACGTGCCTTCATCACTAATACACTCATATTGCCAAAGTCCACAACATATCAACGCCCACACGCCTGTCCCACACGAAGTTACGCTCTCGATCCACCCACGCCTGTACTCCCACCTCACCATGCCCACATTCCCACCTCACCACGCCTACACTCTCACCTCACCACGCCCACACTTGACCACGCCCGTACCCCCACCTCACCACGCCCACATACCTCCTCACCTACGCCCACTCAAGTCATCAAGTGGCTAGCCTATTTATCTGAGTATGTCCTCAGCCTTAGTATCAATGTTAATGGCGAGTGAGTGATGAGGAAGCCCCAAAGATGTTCTGAGGTTGAGCGGTCGTCCGGGATGTTGAGAGATGTTGCAAGAGAGAAAATAATGACAGGACAAATTATATTGCAAGTAACATGTGGTTTTCAAGAGATAAAGGAATTTGCAATGAGACATAGCAGACTAGTTGAGAGTAATATGTCTACAAAAAGCTGAAGGGAAATATTACACGAAAATTAATGGCTAGACAAATGTTCCAAAGAGGTGCAGAGTGATGCTGCATACCACAAGGAAAGGGTAATACATCATGAAGACGGTGAATCATTGTAGGTAACATGTAGTGTATCAAGAGTTGATTGAAAATGCTGCAAGGGCAAAGAAGAGATTGCAAGAATTACTCACAGGGCCATCAAGAAGAGACTGCAAGATATGGTGTCTAAAAGGTGGGGGGAGGACAGAGACGTTGTTATTGTAAGGGGATGTCTCAAGGTGTCGGAAATACCAAATAACTTAGGAGCAAGAGAGAGAGAGAGAGAGAGAGAGAGAGAGAGAGAGCGCGATCACCAATAGAATAAGAGGTGGCAAACGAGAGCGAGGTGGCAGGAGGCGTCGGGCGGGGGTGTGGGTGAGGGGGCAGCTGGGCGATGCAGGTGTGAGCGTGGCACCGTTGATGCCCAGTGCCACCATGGCCTTCCCTCCACCCCGCTGCCACTCGCACGACCAACCTTCCATCACTCCTCCACAACCCTTAATTTAGCGCTCCACCTGCAGTATCATAACGCCCTCAGGGGGATAAAATACATCCCAGGGGAACTATTCGCTCTTCCTGGAGAGGTGGAGGGGCTGAGGGGTGCTAGGGGCGTCAGGATAGGGCACGACAGGTTGGGCCAGGAAAAGGGTAAGGGTCGTGGGCGCGGCCGGCAGGGTAGAGAGGGCCAACATACCGGGTCCTGCCATGGTGAGGAACACGTGAGGGAGGGCAGCGCTATGCGGGCGTGGCGCGGTTAGCTCTAACACCGGAGAGTGCCTCTCTGCCACCATGGACAGGGCCCAGCGTCTGCGCCTCATATTGCAAGGACTCATATGGGCCTGGATCTACCGGCATGTAGACGCGGGTAAGTACTACTACATCTACTGTTTGTCAGGTCGACTCAGGTCAGATGGCATAAAAGGCAAGGATAAAGGTCAAGATAAGATAGTGTTACATGCATCAACGCTAAAAACCTCGCGTATTGATAACTCATCGTGACTAATGTGTTGATCCACGCTATCTGACTTATATGTAGTCTTTTTCTGATGATCAGGTCAGGTCAGGTCAGGCCAGGTCAGGTCAGGCCAGGCAAGACCAAGAATAAAATAAACTCCGGAAAAAAGTCAGTGTAAACACAAAATCAGACGCGATGTTAAGCAGTACAAGACCTCCCAGTTTACTGAACCAATATGATTGATGGAACCACAAGTCAACACGGAAGCAACACCTCCTGGCTCGTCTAACAAGTCAGCATCAATAAAACACAACACCTGACGCACTGAAACTGTCATCAGACAACTGTAACTTGTCTTGGTGGGGGTAGAGGGGGTGATACCTGACGCACTGTAACTTGTCTTGGTGGGGGTAGAGGGGGTGATACCTGACCTTACTGTAACTTGTCTTGGTGGGGTAGGGAGTGATGCCTGACGCACTGTAACTTGTCTTGGTGTGATACCTGCGCACTGTAACTTGTCTTGGTGGGGGTAGGGGGGTGATACCTGACGCACTGTAACTTGTCTGGTGGGGTAGAGGGTGATACCTGCGCACTGTAACTTGTCTTGGTGGGGGGTAGAGGGGATACCTGACGCACTGTAACTTGTCTTGGTGGGGTAGAGGGTGATACCTGACGCACTGTAACTTGTCTTGGTGGGGGTAGAGGGTGATACACTTGTCTTGGTGGGGGTAGAGGGGTGATACCCTGACCACTGTAACTTGTCTTGGTGGGGGTAGAGGGGTGATACCTGACGCACTGTAACTTGTCTTGGTGGGGGTAGAGGGGTGATACCTGACGCACTGTAACTTGTCTTGGTGGGGGTAGAGGGGTGATACCTGACGCACTGTAACTTGTCTTGGTGGGGGTAGAGGGGTGATACCTGACGCACTGTAACTTGTCTTGGTGGGGGTAGAGGGGTGATACCTGACGCACTGTAACTTGTCTTGGGGGTAGAGGGGTGATACCTGACGCACTGTAAACTGGGGGTAGAGGGTGATTGACGCACTGTAACTTGTCTTGGTGGGGTAGAGGGTGATACCTGACGCACTGTAACTTGTCTTGGTGGGGGTAGAGGGTGATACCCTGACGCACTGTAACTTGTCTTGGTGGGGGTAGAGGGGTGATACCTGACGCACTGTAACGATCTGTAACTTGTCTTGGTGGGGGTAGAGGGGTGATACCTGACCACTGTAACTTGTCTTGGTGGGGTAGAGGGTGATACCTGACGCAATGTAACTTGTCTTGGTGGGGGTAGAGGGGTGATACCTGACGCACTGTAACTTGCCTTGGTGGGGGTAGAGGGTGATACCTGACGCACTGTAACTTGTCTTGGTGGGGGTAGAGGGGTGATACCTGACGCACTGTAACTTGTCTTGGTGGGGTAGGGGTGTGACGCACTGTAACTTGCCTTTGGTGGGGGTAGAGGGTGATACCGACCCACTGTAACTTGTCTTGGTGGGGGTAGAGGGTGATTGTAAGTAGAGGGGTGATACCTGACACTGTAACTTGTCTTGGTGGGGTAGGGGGTGATACCTGACGCACTGTAACTTGTCTTGGTGGGGGTAGAGGGGTGATACCTGACGCACTGTAACTTGCCTTGGTGGGGGTAGAGGGTGATACCTGACCCACTGTAACTTGCCTTGGTGGGGGTAGAGGGGTGATAGGTAGCGGCTGACGTTTCGTTGTAAAGGTCAGTTCTCATTTTGCTGTTGCGAGTTCTTGAGGACCAGTCAGTGTCCTGCTGCTGTAGCCGTAGTTCTTGGGGACTTAAACTGCGATATAATGAAGTATGATGACTTAACCCTGATATAATGAACGATTAATTAAACCTGAGATAATGAAGATAACTTAAATCTGAAATAATGGCGTTTGACTTAAACCTGAAGTATTGGTGTATGATGGCTTAAACCTGAAGTAATGGCGTATGATGACTTAAACCTGAAGTAATGGTGTATGATGACTTAAACCTGAAGTAATGGTGTATGATGACTTAAACCTGAAGTAATGGCGTATGATGACTTAAACCTGAAGTAACGGTGTATGATGACTTAAACCTGAAGTAATGGCTTATGATGACTTAAACCTGAAGTAACGGTGTATGATGACTTAAACCTGAAGTAATGGCGTATGATGACTTAAACCTGAAGTAATGGCGTATGATGACTTAAACCTGAAGTAATGGTGTATGATGACTTAAACCTGAAGTAATGGTGTATGATGACTTAAACCTGAAGTAATGGCGTATGATGACTTAAACCTGAAGTAATGGCGTATGATGACTTAAACCTGAAGTAATGGTGTATGATGACTTAAACCTGAAGTAATGGCGTATGATGACTTAAACCTGAAGTAATGGTGTATGATGACTTAAACCTGAAGTAATGGTGTATGATGACTTAAACCTGAAGTAATGGTGTATGATGACTTAAACCTGAAGTACTGGCGTATGAGGACTTAAACCTGAAGTACTGGCGTATGAGGACTTAAACCATGTGCCTCAAAGAGAGCTCAGGTTCTCAACTGGCTCAGCCATGTTAATATTGTTATTATTATCTACTCTGTATCTGTATTTTTCTGGCTAAATAAACTGTTACAATTCAATTGATATAACAAAGTAGGATGACTTAGCCCTGATATAATGAAGTATGATGGCTTAACCCTGATGTAATGGATGGTGAATTAAACCCGAGATAATGAACGATGAATTAAACCTGAAATAATGATTTAAACATGAAATAATGGCGTACTATGACGTAACCATGAGGTAAGAAATACGATGACTTAAAACTAAGATAATGACGATCTAACCATCCAAATTACGGTCCAACGAATTACCCAAAAGTACCCAAAAGTATATTAAATCAGGGTAAAATCTTAACGAATATATGTTTTACATCAATAAAACCTGATTAATAATGTTTTCATTGAAGTGTAGTCAAAATAATGAAATAATAAACAGCGAAAAACGCTAAATTCCTATGAGTCACCTATCCAAAATGGAGATATAATTACCGATGTTTCTGTTACTTTGGGGTATTTAACATAGCCGTAGGATTTACTTTTCGTTAGGTTAGGTTAGGTTAGCGAAGTGCATCACGATGGATCTGAGTTATATCTCTTGTTCACGAACTCTTTGGAATTTATCGTTCGCCAATACTGAAAGTTTTTCGCTGTTTATTATTTCATCTTACAAATTATTTTTACAAAATTACACTAAAAATATTGTTAGACATGTTTTGTGTTTGTATAACAGATATTCGTTAAGATTTTACCCTGATTTAATATAATTTTGGGTACATTTGGGTACTTTTCGGTAATTCGTTGGACCCTCCAAATTATGATAACTTAACCCTGATATAATGACGGCCCCATCTTCTAGAGTACAATGACGAATCCTTAAGTAGTACAAAGGCATAACCCCGTGTTAGTGATGACTCTGCGACGACCCGTAAAACACGATGACTTAATCTCCTTGTTAACGAATCATGCTGACCTCACTTGTTGATGACGGTAACCCTTCAAATAAAACAACTTTTAAACCTTTCTATACCAAGTGTCTTAAAAGTGTAAGTGTCAACCTACTTCTAAGAGCCATATTGTACTTAGATATATCCACCTACGACTTTATTCCTTCAGATAGGCCAAAGGGATTTCTTTTTCTTTTTCATGATACGATACGAGCTATACACATCGACCTCCTTCCAACCTTGTAGCAAACCCCCTATGACGTGTTGAGAGAGAGAGAGAGAGAGAGAGATTACACCTCTACAGATCTGTGCATGGTACTATTGAGTTGATGGAACCTGTCAAGTTGAATTCGTGTCCAAAGCCGCACCGTCAAACCAAGAAGAAAAAGGGTCACTTATCCCAATCTGTGCTGGTCTTTGCGTCAAGGGGTAAGGGTGAAGGGGTGAGGGAGGAACGAAGTAAGGGGGTAAGGGGTGAGGGAGGGATAGAGTAAAAGGGGTAAGGGAAGGATGGAGTAAAAGGGATAAGGGGTGAGGGAAGGATGGAGTGAGGGGGTAAGAGGTGAAGGAGGGATGGAGTAAGTGGGGGTAAGGGAAGGGAGGATGGGAGGTGGGGAGGGGTGGAGGGATGGATAAGGAGGGGTAAGGGGTGTGGGAGGATGGAGTAAGGAGGCAATGGGGTGGAGGATGGGAGGCGGGGCAGGGGTGTGGGAGGTGGATGGAGGCGAGGGTAAGAGGTGAAGGAGGGATGGAGTAAGGAGGGGTAAGGGGTGGGGAGGGATGGGAGTAAGTGAGGGTAAGAGGTGAAGGAGGAAGGAGTAAGGGGGGTAAGGGGTGGGGAGGGATGGAGTAAGGGGGTAAGAGGTGAAGGAGGGATGGAGTAAGGGGGGGTAAGAGGTGAAGGAGGGATGGAGTAAGGAGGGGTAATGGGGTGAGGGAGGGATGGAGTAAGTGGGGGTAAGAGGTGAAGGAGGGATGGAGTAAGGAGGGGTAAGGGGTGTGGGAGGGATGGAGTAAGGAGGGGTAAGGGGTGTGGGAGGGATGGAGTAAGGAGGGGTAAGGGTGAGGGAGGATGGAGTAAGGAGGGTAATGGGTGAGGGAGGGGATGGGAGTAAGGAGGGGTAATGGGGTGTGGGAGGGATGGAGGCGGGGGTAAGGGGTGTGGGAGGGATGGAGGCGGAGGGGTAAGGGGTGAAGGAGGATGGGAGTAAGGAGGGTAATGGGTGAGGGAGGGATGGAGAAGGAGGGGTAATGGGTGAGGATGGAGGGTGGGGGTAAGGGGGGTGGGGAGGGATGGAGTAAGGAGGGTGGGTAAGAGGGAGGGATGGAGGCGGGGTAAGAGGTGAAGGAGGGATGGAGGCAGTGGGGGTGGGGTGGGGAGGGATGGAGTAAGGAGGGGTAATG